TCATCGCACGAGCAGGCGACTGCTGCCAGTGTGGGGTCTTCATGTTTCTTCTGTGGCTATGCTCGTCACCCGAGATATAAATGCCCCGCTAAGGATGCGACCTGCAAAAACTGTGGGAAGAAAGGGCATTTTCAAAAGGTTTGCAGATCTACTGGTCCGCGGAACACCTCATCTGTTTCAAGTGCGCTATCTTGCGTCACTGCAGCGGCTCCTGAGTGTCTAAAAGAAGCAGTCACCGATGTGAAAGCCAATGGTGTCCCGCTTCGAGCTCTTGTTGATACTGGTAGCTCAGAAAGTTTCATTTCCGAAAAGGTAGTCCGTCGTAACAAGTGGTCTGTACTACCATCGTCATCTGAGATAACTTTGGCATCTATCCAGCACAAAAGCTTTACTCTTGGACATTGCTTTTTAACGTTGCAACACAAACAAAACAAGTATCCCTCTTTCAAGTTTTCAGTATTACGTGACCTCTGTGCAGATATTTTGCTAGGACATGACTTTCTTAAGCTTCATAAGTCCCTGGAAATCTCATTCAACGGTGACAAACCTTCTTTTTCCCTTTGTGGCCTAATTGCTGCCAAAATTGAACCTCCCACTTTGTTCGAGCATATTGACCCAAGGTGTAAGCCAATCGCCATAAAGTCCAGGCGACATTCTGCAGACGACGAGGCCTTCATTGCTTCTGAAGTAAAGCGTTTACTTGACCAACACATCATTGAACCCTCGAAGTCCCCATGGAGAGCGCAAGTGCTCGTCACGACAAATGAACGACAGAAGAAGCGAATGGTGGTTGACTATAGTCAAACTATAAACCGATTTACGCAACTAGACGCTTATCCGCTCCCCAGACTTGAAGATTTAAGTACTAAAATAGCTCAATATCGTATTTTCAGCACGCTTGATCTTGAAAGTGCGTATTATCAGATACCCATTAAAGAAAGCGACAGAATCTACACGGCTTTTGAGGCTTGCAACAACCTCTATCAGTTCCGTCGAATACCTTTCGGAGTAACGAATGGGGTAGCCTGTTTTCAAAGGGTAATGGATGACATAATACGCGCCGAACAACTTACCGGGACATATGCGTATGTGGATAATGTTACCATTTGTGGAAAGAATCAAGAAGAACATGATCGAAACCTCCAGCTTTTCCTCACCGTAGCACAAAAGTACGGCCTTCAGTTAAATCACGATAAAAGCACGATTTCCACCACTAAGCTCAGACTCCTCGGCTATGAAATTACTGAAGGTGTCATCAAACCAGACCCTGAACGCTTCAAGGTATTGCAAGAACTGCCCGTTCCGAACGACATCAAGTCTCAACAACGAGTGGTAGGATTGTTCGCGTACTATTCTCGTTGGATAAGCCGTTTCTCGGATAAGATCTACCCAATCACTCACAATACAACCTTTCCTGTCCCTGAATCTGTTATAAAAGCATTTGAAAGTTTGAAAAAGGAGTTGATGGATGCAGCCTTGGTCACTATCGACCCGAGAATACCTTTGGTGCTCGAAACTGATGCATCTGATGTCGCGATTTCTGCTACACTCAATCAAGATGGCAGACCGGTCGCATTCTTCTCACGTACACTGTCTGCCAGCGAAAAACACCATTCCGCTATTGAGAAAGAAGCGTGCGCAATTGTCGAAGCAGTGCGCAAATGGAGGCATTACCTACTCGGGACCCATTTCAAAATTATAACTGATCAGCGATCCGTTGCATTCATGTATTCAACACAACAAAAAGGGAAAATAAAAAATGACAAAATCCAACGATGGCGGATGGAGTTATCGCCTTTTTCTTTTGACGTTACCTACAGACCAGGCATAGAAAACAAAGCTGCTGACACGCTTTCTCGGAGTGTCTGTGCGAACACTTCATCTCACCTGGATCTAAAACGCTTACACACAACCCTGTGTCATCCTGGAGCAACACGCATGATGCATTTCGTTCGTGCCAAGAATCTTCCATTCTCCCTAGAGGATATCCGACTCGTCATTAAGCAGTGTCATGTGTGTGCGGAACTAAAACCACGTTTCTTCAAGTCATCTGGAGGTACCCTCATTAAAGCCACACAAACGTTTGAACGTTTAAGCATTGACTTTAAGGGACCACTGCCTTCGACGACTCGAAACAAATATCTACTGACGATCGTAGACGAATATTCCCGTTTTCCGTTCGCCTATGCATGTCCAGATATCAGTTCGTCTACGGTGATATCATGCCTTGTGCCACTGTTCGCCACATTTGGCCTGCCAAGTTTCGTGCATTCGGATTGCGGCTCAGCATTCATTTCGGATGAGATCAAACGATTTCTTCATGAAAAAGATGTAGCCACCAGTCGGACCACTCCATATAATCCAAGGGGGAACGGCCAGGTGGAAAGATTGAATGGAACTTTGTGGAAGGCTATTACGCTTTCATTACGATCAAAGGGTCTTCAAATCAGTCACTGGGAAGCCGTTTTACAAGACGCTCTCCACTCGATTCGTTCTTTGTTGTGCACGGCCACCAATGCCACTCCACACGAGCGGATGTTTCATCACAATCGAAAATCCGCAGTCGGTACGTCCTTGCCACAGTGGTTGCTTTCGCCAAGACCAGTTCTGATGCGGCGAAACACACGATCTTCAAAGTACGATCCTCTAGTCGAAGAGGTTGAGCTCCTGGAATGTAGCCGTGAGTACGCATATGTCAGACACCCTAACGGCATGGAAGAAACGGTCTCCCTACGCCACCTGGCGCCTTCAGCAGACTTCGGATGTGATGCAGCATCCGAACAGCAGCAACCACAGTCCAACGCTGATTCATCTATTAAGCCGGAACTATCTGACTCTGCTTCGGAAAGTGAAATGTCGAATTATTCTGAACACCCATTGGTTATACAACAACAGCGGACACGGCCGTATGTCCTGCGCAGCAGAGAGGCCTGACATTATTCAATTACAAATCGAACTCTTGAGAACTTTCATCTCTGCGGGGGGTGAATGTTATATATTTGCTCTGTTTTTCAAACGTTTCATCATTTGTTGCTAAATCACTTTCTTCCGTTTTCAGCTCTCAGTGTCAAAGTTTTGGATGAATAAAGCCTAGCTTTCGGGCCCTCAGTCTTTTCCATTGTCATTCTGATTGTCGTTGCACTCCGACCCTCGTCGTACACAACACAATGATGATGATGATGATAATCACTCGACTACAATTCTTCATAAGCATCAGCGGTTTGATCTGCATAAACTCAGTTTACTTAGAGACTTAGCAATCAGTCCTTAAGGTTACAAACACATATCATTTTTTGTTCAAAGCTATTTCGGATTTTCGTAAAACATTTCAGCCGCGAGGAAGTTTCCGATCCGGAGTGAATGCCGTCTGTTACCCAACCATCCTATAACGTTTTTCATATAACGTTTTCATATAACGATTTTCCCGTTTCGTCATATGCACCTGATCATGGGGACCATTAACGCCGATTAAACCTCGGTCTAGTGAAAGGGACCTAGAATGACCTTTAACCTTAAGTCGTGACAGGACTCACTGAAGTCGGAGGAAGTGTTTCGCGTTCTACTTCAGCGTCTTTTCCTCCGAAAAAGACCTTTACACCGGAACAGAGTATTGAGGGTTTCGTCCACAAGACTGCATTCACCAGGCCTTCAAATTGTGATACCGACCCAGGTATCGCCCGACCACAACTGCCTCTTTTCATTTCGATAGATTGACAATCTCTAAAAAAACATGCTGACCGATGGTGCTACTGCTAACGGTCGTGTTCACCCCGGGGTCCGTGTAGGTTCCGCTCTGA